ACATCCCTCAAAGTTAGATTTTCCAGGAATCCAAACTGGCAAGAGTAATGTGATTTGTGCTGCTGGTAATTAGTACCTCTTGTGGTCTGGCGTGCTATCAGGTGGATATAAGAGGCATAAATTAAGCCTCTTTTTGTTATCTCACAAAGCGACATCAGATCTGTTCCAAAGGGGGTTTGGTCTCCATGTCTGGGGGCAAGTTGAATTTGGAAAACGATAATTCATCTTTTTTTACACACAGTAACTAGCTTAGCCTGCTTCCACTGGGAAAGAGATGCTGTTGGTCTAAACAGCCATGTAGGTGCTTTTCCTCATGGGGATGAGGGATGTAAACATATTTGCAGGTGAGTCACCCGAGCATGCCTGCAGCCAGCCTCCAGTGTTGTCCGTGGCTCGACTGGGCAGCAGTACCTTGGTTAAGGGAGTTTTTGAGTGGTTGGATGGACAGAAAGACACTGTGGGCAGGCCAACGGATCCCTTGGTGGATTTGGTTCCCAAGGCTGAACTCCTGTGGTGCACCATCCAGTGTCAGAGGGAGGCACAGCTGGCTGGCCTCTTCCTTCTTCTCATGAATTTTGGTGGTTCTTGTGGTGCTGCTTCCATTGCCTTGGCAGCTCCTGTGCAGATCCCATGTATTGGTGTATTCTTCCTGGAAAAGAAGGGAAAGACAAATAAAACTATTAGAGTGTGTAATGAGCAACATACCGTGTACAAACTACAATATAAAAAGCAAACTCTGATTTCAGTTAATGAGGAGCCAACAGTCCTTCAACTAAAATCTCTACCAGCACTTCTTTTAGAGAGGAAGATAGAACACTGAAGTCTCTGATGAATCACATTTGAAATCATAAGGGAGAGCTGCTGATGGGTACTCTGTGTGGTTTTGTCTCTTCCAGATCAACTATACCTTGGTGAGATCTGGTCAGCAGAGAGATCCATGATATGGGGAGGAATCAGAGAGGAAAATTAACTGGGTGCATGACTCCTGGGAGAATAAAGCCACATAACTTCAAGTCTGCTCTTCCAGTGATGCTGCTTGCTAATTAGGTTATCAGTGAGACACTGAGAATTAAACAGAGGAGACATAATCCTCCCTGCCAGGTAATTAAAAATATTTGCCCCTTGCTGATAACTGACCCGCTGATTTCCTCCTGTTTGAGAAAGCTTCATAAAAAATTACTGAACTGTTTGTGTAATAGGACAGCCCCTTGCACAGATGTTTCCTGTCTGCTAACTTTCCAGTGTTTTGAGAGGTTGTCACAGGAAGGAGAAACTTGTTTGAAATTCTGGAAGCCTGTTTTGTTTGTTTGTTTGTTTGTGCAAAGGGGAAAATGAGTGCTCTACAGATGAGGAGCTGCAGCAGCCTGAGGAGATCCAGCCTGGTGAGCAAATACAGGTATTCTGCCTACAGTCTTCAGCTGAAATGATTAATTGGGAGCTAATTGAGCCCTGCTCTAAGGGGGCTGATGGACAGTATGAGAAGCCATGGGCATGGGAATATGTGCTGGTGGAACTGGGGACAGCTGGCCCAGATGCTTCAGGTCATGAAGGCAGTGCTGCTTGTGGTGAGAGAGCTCCTGGGAAGAGTAAAAGAAGGAATCATCCCTGCTGAGATGCACTGAGTACACTGGACATTGCAGTTGTACTGAGGGAGACTAGGCATGAAGTGTGTCTCTGATAAGAAAAGCCACTTTGGGTCTATATTCAGAAAAAAACCAAAAGTTTCACTCTGATGTGGGAACAGTCATATTGGACTAGGTAAAATAATCTACCTTACCTATTATTTTGCCTCAACAGCTCTCAATAAGAGAGGCTTAGATTAGAAGGACAGTGGCAAACCTGGAGCAAGCTTTCCTCCTTAGGTCATTCCCAAAGAGAACAAGGCGAGCCAGAAGCTGCAGCTGGTCTGCTGTGTTTGACGGGTCCAGTTGTATCTGTGTTCTGGGTCTGAGAACATTAATACTGATGTTCTCCACAGTAGAGTCCTGTGATTTTAATTACACTTGCAAGGAAGTGTCTCCTTCGTGGGTTTAAATCCCCTGCATAGTAATTTCACAGCTGCCTCTAAGAATGACAAATACTAATCTTTTTTTTTTGCCTCTTTCATTATGTACTTGATGTTGTAGACATTAAACATTGCTGCAGAAATTGACCTTTCTCCCTTCTGAAGTGCCAGAGGCATCGCAAAACCATGAGACAGGGAGGATTCTGCCACAGCACAAACTTTCAGACAGACATGGTGGCATTCAAAGCTGGTTTGGAGCAACAACAGATTCAGTCTGGCATTTCCTTCCCTTAAGGGGCAATTAAACTGTAAACTCACAGAGAAGTGCCAGTTCTGGAGATCTCATGGAAATCTGCAGGGGGACGTTTCTGCAGTGACCTTTGTCTAATGATCTTATTAAGGGCCGTAAACTTCCAGCCATTCCCTGTCTCCCACACACTCTTGTGTGATGGGCATGGTTCAGCTGGCAGCAGCATGGGCTGCTGCATTTTGGTCCTGTCATGCTGAGGAATTGGGCTGTTGGCATGCTGCTGTTCTCAGAAGTGTGGATGCTGCTCGTGTGCTTTCACTCGAGTATGAGTCCCAAACAAAATCCTTTGAAACCTCCGTGGATCATTCTCACCCTTCCCGCCTTTTTCAGTTATTTTTGCAGAGAGAAACCTCACATAACCAGAGTGTTATATGAGGATTTCATATGTGGTAGTCACCATCCTGACGTGCTCCAGGCAAGGAGGTGGTGGCACTGAAGCCCAGCCTTTGTGGGTGCAAGAGTGCTTGAGACAGATTTCTTAGTACTGAAACCAGAGTCAGGAGCTGACAGTGGGAAAAGGCACACAGGCAATGTTGCTCACATTCAATAATTTCTGACTTCAGCTAATTTCCAAATTCAGCAGAAGCAGGGAACAAACAGCTTCTCCCAGAGGAATATAATTTCTAGTCAGCTGAGAGCTGGGATCTTTCCTCTAAAGGAGGCAGGGCTTCCCAGTTCCTGGCAAGTTTAAAACTAGAAGCCATCAGTCTGGCAAAACCCCCTTGGCAAATCATGAATGCTCATGAGCTATCAAAGCTCTGCAAGGAAATGAATCTGCTCTGATTTATACCAGTGGGAAATCTAGCCTTTAATTTTAGTTCTTGAATTAGCAGTTGTTTTAATCACATGAACGCAGTCTGCCAGGTTGTTAGGGCCACATATGCGAAACGCAGAATTATTGTTTCAGTGGAGCTCGAAATATGCAATGTTTCAGTAAAGCATTTTTATTGGGTTTACGGACCATTAAGCAGAAAGTGTGATGGAGAGACATGCAACAGCAAAACAGAAGCAGGAGCAGCCTTCTTCATCACTGCTTTGAGCAATTAGGGAACAACTCGCAGGTCATTCAGTATTAATTGGCCTCCTTTGGAGCTTGAGTGCTTTATGAATGCTATTATACAACTTGATAGCAGTGGGCTCGAATCAAAGACCCTGATGATCTCTTTCCCTCTGGTGTCCACTGTTTCTACATAAACAGGGCTTATTCAGCTGCTTCTGTTGAGCTCTGTGGAGTTACACCAAGAAAGAGTTCAGCCGTTCCGGTTTCTACCCAGCAACAGTCAGCAAACACTAAACACCAGTTCTGCCACATGTGGAATTGTTTCTCTCAGATGTGCCGGAGGGAGATTTCTCCAGAATATCTTCCACTGTGCACTCTCCCCTCACTTCTCTGGTAGGGTTGAGTACTGAGCCATTTTGAGCTTCATGTTAGGAGTTCAGGGAATCCCTAGAGGAGACACTGCATCTCTGGAAAGATCTGAAATGAGATTTCCCAGTTATTTCTTTCTATGGGCCCAGGCAGTCAACACATCTGATCAGCGCTGCTTTTCTGGCACCCTCCTGCCCCCTTGCTCAAACAGTGCAATGTGCTGTTGGCTTTACTCAAGCTAAAGAGAAAACAGAGTTGTCTTCCTTGTCAGAGACAGAACCCCTTTCTGCAAAACTTGTTTTTGCCTGAATTTCTAGGATGACCTACAAGGTGAAATGCAATATGGTGCAGTAGAGGATGATGCTGTATTAAGAATACTCAGGCTGGAGTGGTGCCTAGAGAATAGAGAGAAGTAAGTGTTCATTCCTTTTCAGTGATTTATCTCTTTGACCTTTGTTTTTTGCCATCTTTGTTACCTTTCTCCTTCTCTCTCGATCATGAAAGCAGTAATTCAAGAAAGAGGGGAGCATGGTTGATGTTCAATCAGCTCCAGCCTGGTTTGCAAAGGGTTCTTCCAATAAATTGGAGAGGAGCCTCTGTTCAGCTGTTGCTGGCAGCATCCAGTCTGGTTACAGCAGGTGGGGGCACGGAGAGCAGATGAGGACATGTGAGTGTCAGCACCTCTTCATCTGTGGGTGGATTATCTATGATCCATCCAGTGCATAAGCTGCAGTTTGCTGTGCTTCCTGTGGTTATCACCTCCACAAACAGACAGAGGTTGGCTTCTTAATATGGGAGTTAAGGTTTTGGCTGTGCTTGCAACCGAGGTCTAGCATTAGGTGTGTTTTTAGTTTAAGTGCCTTTAAGTGTACCTGAGATCTGATTGCCACTTGAAACATCAGTTTTGCATCTGGGGAGGATTTTCTTTTAATTTGCCAGCCCCCACACCCTGGACGTTCCACTTCTAGAGGTCCTGGCTCAGCACCCCTCACTGCTGGCTGCCCAGCAAAGACTCCCTCCTGCATCCCTCCATCATCCCTCCAGCATCCAAAGGCACCGCACACCAGTTGTAATTTTTTTTTTTTTTTATTCGTAACGTGCGTTTCAGACCTCTTGTCTTTGAGAGATCCGTGCCTCGCTGCAGCATCGAGAGCCTACATCCTATTCCTTGGCGTTTGGCGGTGTCTCCCCTTCTCCCCTGCGGCGGCCGCGCTCTGTTCTCCTCCCCGGGGCCGCCGGAGGGCGGCTGGGGCTGACCCTCGGCGTAGTGGGTTTTTCCTCTCCTTAGGGGGAAAAAAAAAAAAAAAAAGGGGGCTGTTCTGCTCCGGGCACCTCTGTGAGCTGAAGGGGGCGGGAGCTGCAGCCTTGAAGTAAGAAAAGGAAGAAGGGAAAGGAGCGGGGAGAGGGTGAGCGGTGCCGGATAGCGGGGCGCGGTGGGCTGAGCCTCGCTGGGGACCGCGGGTTCGTTCGAGGAGGAGGAGGCGGGAGAGGATGCGGCGGGGCAGGGATGCTGCGCCTAAACCCCCTTCTGCCTGAGGAGAACAACACCATCCTCCGAGGGGAAGGACGAAAGTGGGGAGAAGGCGGCCGAGCTCGCACAGAGCCTGCTGAGCTCTTCCGAGGACTGCCCGCCTGACACCCCAGCAAAGTTTCCGGACCTCGGTGACGAGAGGGGAGGAGGGATGTGAGATCCTTCTCCTCCCAGCGCACAGCTGGGCTTCCACCCCTGGCATTGCTGGGACTAGCCATGGCTTTGTCATCCCGGACCGAAGGGTGAAGGGGAGACCCGGGGCACCCGTTCTCCCCATCGCTTTCCCTGGCTCCACGTTCCAGCCCAGGTGAGTGTCCTGCCCTTCCAGACACCGAGGCTCTCTCTGGCCCTGCTGGAGAGTTTTCCAGCACTTTGGCCAGAAAAAAAAAAAAAAAAAGTCGTATGCTTCTCCTGATAGCTAAAGAGTGCGTGCCTATGTGTTTGTGAGCGTGGCTGTGTGCAGGGGGTGGTTGTAGCTGTCTGACTGCAATTTCTGTTTGCTGATCACATTTGTCATTATTTTGCTGTGCCATCACACGTCTAGAAAGGAGACTCATCTGGGGTCTGACAAATATTTTGGTTGTGCTGTTGCAATGAGATGGTGTGGAAGGATGACAGCTCGATCCCCCTCACGACAACTAAGAGGAAAGCATGCTTAGCTGTACATGCTGCTGGTGCTGCTGGTATGGCTTTAGATGCTCCTAAAATGCTGGATGAATATGTCAGTGTGCCCTTTGAGCTCTAGGAAGTCTCAGAGATGCGGATGAAAGTCTCTCTTTGCCCCCCTGAGAATATAGGGAGGGATGGGTATTCCCCTGAAAGGAATCACTACAGCCTCTGGATCTCCATCATGCTAGCTTGGATATGCAGCTTTTATTCTTACCTAGCAGTGCTTGCAGTAGTGCATTTCAAGCTGAAATGTTGTTTGGAGAAGAAACCTACACTCCAACCCTTAAGAAAAGAACCTGTTTCAAACAAAGAGCCCAAAGAGAACTTTTTCCAATCCTGATGGAACAGGAGTCGCTCATTATAATTTGGCTGGAAAGTTGGTTATTTTTTTAAGCCATTGATTTTGCTGAAGTGAAAGGTAAAAGCTGCCAGAGTTCCTCAGGTATGTCAGCAGTGGCAGCTGACCCACACCAGTACATTCTTGTAGCTGAGATGGGGATGGAGAAGGACCCTGACCCTATTATCCATAGCATCAACCTGTGCTTTAGGAAATGACAGGAGAGCAAAGATGCTTTTGCTGTACATGACAATCAGAATGAACATGGACTTTGTGTTGTTGCAGGCACTTATGAGGTAGAGAATAGCACAAAGCGTTCTGTGGCTTTGGGTTGTTTTTTGCTTTATCCTCCACTGCTCTGCTGGCTTTCCCATCCCCATGTCATCTGGTTTTCCAACTGGAATCCCTTGTGTATAATCCCTGATGTTTTCCATGGAGATGAAGAAAAAAGCAAACAGTGATCTACTTTCTGAATGTTCCCAGTCCAGAAATACTCTCTTCTGTGTGCTGTTGGTTACCCTGTGGTGCGAGTGCAGGTCATGTCCCAACCCCATGCACCTCAAGCCTGTCTTCCAAGATAATCTGTCCCCAGGCTCATGGAAGAGGTTCCCCTTGGAATCTCCAGTGAGTCGATTGCTTTCTACTGGGAAAGGTCTGTTACCCCACGTAGCTGCTCCAAGCAAGGAGGATAGGAAAGAAGTTTTGCCTTGGACATAAAATGGCCAGAACACTCATGATGCAGCTATAGAAAGGGTGTGATAAGCCCCAGAATAGCTCACACAGTTTAAATGAGACCTCAGCCCTGACTTCTTTCTTCCCTTGTCACTTGCCAGGAGGCAGATAGTGGCTGTTTCCTGAGCAGTCACTTGGCACAACCTGCCAGCTGTCTGCCTGTCTTACGGGGGCCCAAGGAGTAGCCAGTGCCCCCTCTCAGTCAAGCTGCAGTGTGAGAGGTCTCAGTCCTTTACATTCCACATCCCTGTTTCTGTACTGTAGATCTGGTCCCCTCTCCTTCTATGAACAACCATGAATGCCTGGGAAGCTGATGGTGCCTGAACCCATCCTGAGCTCAGCTGGATCATCCTCTCATGTCATTTATCCTTCTGGAGTGGAACTGTGGTTCTCTTTTACCTGTTGGGGTGAGCTGTCTTTGGATGGACTGCCTTAATTTATCATTGTCAATGGTGCTTGAAGGCGCCTCTTCTCCTCCTCTGTTACTGCCTGGCCAGGTCCAGTGAGGATTTTGCCCAAGCTTAATCCCCTACCTTCAGGGTTCTGTAATGATGACCAAAAATTGCCAGGTAGAGAAAATAAGCTACCAAGGACCATGCTGGGTGATATCACTGCAACCTTGAAAGCAGCCGGAAACCAGCATGGTCTCTTTAGAGTGATCACAGGTGACTACTGAGAGATCCGAGGGGCAACAGCCTGAAGCTCCTCTTGAAAATCTGTCTCAGTGGGAGCCTGACCTCTGGTGATGCCTTGCCTAGGAGTCCAGGCAGCCAGCTTATTAGTGCATCCCACTGGAGCCCAGCAGCCGTGATAGCTGCCTGGCTCTCTCAGGAGGGGAAAATCTTTCAGAGTGGAAGCAGGTGAGGAGTCAAGAGGAGGAAACCTGGTGGAGCGAATCTGTGATGTGATTTAACCACGAGAAGCCACACAGTTCCCTGGTGAGCACTTTGCAGTGGGAGAATGCAGGAGGAATGGCCACGCTGGGGTGTCTGTAGCCTCTGTGTGTGAAAGGTTCAGAGTGGCATTCGCAAGAGCTGGTCTGTAAACAGTGTGTGTACGTGTGTCTTTAACCAGAAACTATCTTGCTGTTGGTCCAGGGCTGCTGAAGGAGGCAGAATCAGGGCTCCAGCTCACATCAGCATGCCGGGGTTCCCAAGCAGAACAAAAGGACACTGCTAGGGAAACATGCATATCTGTTAACCTGGCTGATGGAGAAATTACCCCTTTTCCCTTGCGCACTCTGAGTTTCCTGAAAAATCTTTGCCTGCTGAGAGGTGCCTCCCCAGTCATGCATCCCTAGATGAGGAAGGATTTAATCTTTTCATGCACCTGTCCCTATCAGCTCCAGCCGATGTCTCACTGAATATGAACTTCACTTGAAGTTCACTGCTGCACTCATTCAGGTCTAAACAAAAGCCTAAGCCAAGAAAATCAGATATGACACCCAATAAAGCAGCAGAGAGCTTTGCCTCAGTTGGAGGTGCTGGACAATTTTATAACCTAGGAAACATGTTGAAAATGTCCGGCTGATCCCACTGGCACATTTCAGGGTGACGGGTGATGGTTTATTGTTTGGTTTGTTGGTCTTATTTTTTTTTTTTAATTTAGTGGGTGTAGACTGTTAATAGCACAACAGTGATTCTTGGCTCTTGCAGTAGAAACTGTATGGTGTCAGCTTTCTGCTGACAACACTTTTGAAGGGGATTTGACAGCAGAGGGGGGAAGAAGCTAGGGAGCTAGACAGGGGAGCAGGAGAGAGCAGACCGCTGTTGTTTGCCATCAGGCTGGGCAGAGAAATGCTTTCCTGTCTGTAAAATCAAAGGCATCACCAGCAAACTGCTGACAATTTGGCTTCTGGCAATTTGACTTTCCAGCGAAGTACAGCAAACACAAAACCAGCTCTTTTCACATCCAATATCCTTCTCCATGGAGAAGCTGCTACTGTCAGTCAGGGCTGTGTGTTCCAGGCTCTTTTTCAGCTTCATCATCTCAGTTTCCATGAGCCTCCATCCAGGAGCTGGTGTTGCTTGTGCACAAACCTTATTCAAGCTCAGGTTTACAGTTGCTGAGGCAAACAATCTTCCTGGTCCCCTTCTGTGGGATCTCCTGTGATCACACTGAAGATGGTGTGATTCATGGTAGAAAGCATGGTCTAGCTGACAAAACACACACATTTGAATCCTTTTATGGATTCAAATTATTTTGAATCCATAAAAGGATTCAAATGTGTCATTTGGTATCTGTGGATGGCATCATCCATATGGATAGCCAAGCACACTGAGCACGCTGGGCTCAGTGCTCCAGGCTGAGGGTGACTGCGTGTGGCCACCATGATCAGGGAGAGCCCAGACTTGAGAGCAGGCTTGGATTTGAGCTTAGTTGCTGGCACGAGCAAACCTGGAGATGTTGCTGGCGGAAAGGTGCCTTTGGTTCACTGCTCTGACAGCTGCATGGTTCTCTGTTCCTCTCCAGGGATTTCCAGGCAGCAGGAGACCGGAGCTAGCCTTCTCATCACAGCATACACCCCGTGAGGATTGAAGTGACCACTGAGACCCATCTCAACATGTTCAGCGAAAAGAGCAGCGCCTCTTTGTCCCAAAAACCCATCCAGAAAAAGACTCGACCCCAGGGCCTCCCCTCCCCTGCTCTCTGCTGCGCTTGTGGACTTTGCATCATGCTGGCAGGGATCAACATCACTTTAGTGGGAGCATTTGCCTTTGGGACCTTCCTCCCTGTGAACAACCCTCCCATCATCATTGGACCCATCCTGTTGGTGGTGGCCTTCACGTTCTTCGGTGCCTGCTGCATCTGCAGCCGGAGGCCCCCCGCTCATGGGGCCAGGAAATCCAAACCAGGTTCCAACATTGGGCTCATCAAACCTGGCAACACAGCCTTTGAAATTGAAACTAGTGAGCACACGGTGCAGGACACCACTGCTGTTCAGCTGAGCCCCACAAATTCCCCCATCTCCTCCAAAAAGTCCACACCGGTTCATGAGAACGCCAAGACTTGCAAACTCTTCACCATGGAAGGCAACGGGCCAGTGGCCAAATACACCACAGGAGGAGAGGCCATACAGCTCAACTTGCCCAGGGACATGGCTGCATCCTAAACCCAGGCAGAGCTTTTGTCAGCAGCCAGCCAAACACTGCAGTGGGTGGGCTGGAAAACCCTGGTGTACCATCAGTCAGAGGTGTGGGGAAGGTGCTTGTGAGAAGCCAGTAGACAGTCAGGTCTCTCTGGACCAATTTAAGGGAGGAGGATGCAACAGCTGAAAAAAAAAAACAAACAGATTTTTGCTGAAACATGACCATTATTTGTTTTTAAAAGAAAACTGATAATGATGTTGCCTTGAAAAGATGACTCTGAGTTCCTGGAAATACACTGCCTTTTTTGGGGGAGCAGATAGGAGGAGGGGAATGAATTAATTTGTCCAGTATAACGTGGAAATGTGATGGTTGGAAGAGGAGGCTACATGGGACTGACAAATGACAGATCTTTCTTCTCGGAAGTGAAGCAATTCTTGGGCATAAAAGAAGCAGGAATGCAGTAAATTACAGCTTGCTGCTACTCAGTCACAAGATGATTTGAGCATTTTTAGTGCCAGACTTTTTGACAGTAGGGACAAAGCTATGTGTTTGCTATTGGAAAAGCATTGTGAAACAATCCCCCCCTGTTGAAAATCCTTGCAACATCTTGCCTTCGTTTGGGTGATTTTACCACCCATTCTAAGAGAAGGAATCACAAGGATCACAATTAGCCTTGATGTTTTCCTCTTTTGTTAATGAGTTTGAGCTGCAGCTGTGCTACTCCACGAAGTATTTATTTTGGAAGGTCAGGCAGGCTGAATCCTGGAGTAACCAGAGACTAACAGGAACCTGGAAGTGAAATTTTTGGGCAATGATTATGTACTGAGCACTAGGCAACTTCCTTCCCATATTCTTGTGGAAGGCTGGCCTGGGACACATATCACCTTGGGGCAGCGAGTAGATAACTGTGTGGGCTTCAGTATAGCTGTGCTGGAAGATGGTGAGAGGATCTCATTCCCTGAAGTGACTGTGGGATCCTTTACAAGGAGTGGATCTCCTTGCTGCAGGAAACGGGATGTTCAGTGTACTCGTGGTCTTTGAAAAGCAATGGGATGAGCTTGCAGATGGGAACTTACTGAGAGCTGTTCTAAACAGAGACACCCCCTCTGCCCTGGAAAGACCCCAATCTGATGAATTAGTGCTGCAAAGGATTTGTGTTGTGACAGGACCGCAAGCAGAGCTCTGCATGACCAGGCTGTGAGAGCCACATGACTGGTGTGCTGGTTAAGCGAGGGCACGTGTGGTCATGGGGGAGCTGCAGAGAAGCGCCTCAGTGCTGTGCAGTCCATGCATGTGGTGTCCTGGTTGCTCTGGGCAGCCACCGTGCAGCTGATGACCCCTTCGTGAACTTGGGTAGGATAAGGTGGGACTGAAAAATTCCTTCATGAAAGGTGACTGAACACTCAGTCCTAATGTGGGTCCTCCTTGAGCGCTGCAACAGTTTGCCACATCAAATAATTGAGTCTGGGATTTTAGCAGGGCTGGTCTATACTGGCTAGAAGGAGAAAAGGCAGGCTGGGGAGAAGGATATTTGTGTGGGCCTGCGGAGATGTGGGTTCAAGTGTTTGGTACAGCCTCCAGGTCCTGGGCAACTCGTTTAGTTGTGCTGCCACTCAGCTCCCTGCCTGTGCCAAAGGGAAAACACCTGCTCCCAGCTCCACTTAAAGCTGCTTTAGAGATGAGCAGCAAGGTTGGTATTAGCACACCCGAGTCTGGAGATTGCTTAGAGGTGGATGAGCCTGTGTGATCTGATCTCTGCATGATTTCCTTCAGAGCTTGCTCTCAGGGGTGAGCTCTGCCTCCAGCACCGCCTGCCATCGGCATACAGGAACTGCTGTGCTGAGCAAAAGGCTCCCGTGATTTTTGTCTGCCCGTGAGTGCTGTAGCTTGTTGGTGTAGGTTTGATTCCCAGCTTGCCTTTTGGAATAGCAAACAACAGTTTGGAAGTCCTTTAGAGGCTTTCCCCAAGTGAATGTAGTTACTGCAGCACTTTTCTTTGAGCACTTGGAGCCAAAAAAGTTGGTAAAATCAAGTGGTAACAGTTCAACTCCTTTTTTTATTCACTGAAGGCTTGAAAGCCAAGTCTGGAGTTCATACCGGAATCACTCCTTATCACAGCTGCACCGTGAAATGCTTCCAATGATGGATAATACCACGGCTGATCCCATACAAGTCAAAGGTCCTCTGGGCAGGAAAGAGGAGAGGAGCAGAATTTTGAGGAGTGCAGTTAGGAGTTTAGTGTGGTTCATTGGCATTGTGGCATCACAGCCAGTGCCATATAGGGAGCCCTGACACAGCCGTGGGACCTGGAACATCCTGTGCTGCCCATACCTGTGCTTTGGCACCACAAAGCCAGTGTTGCTCTGGGAGCTGAAATCCTGGGGACCCAAGAGATGACAACCAGCAGAGATGGAACCTGGGCAAGCAGAGGTGTAGGACGAGTGAGATGCTGATCCCCTGGTGCAGTGAGTCTGTCTGCCAGGCTGTCACCCCAGCTGCCTACCTGCAGAGCCAGGTGGGCACCAGAACATCTGCTGCCTTCCTGCTTTTGCCTTTTACTTGTCCTTCGGAATTTCCATGTCTATCTGTCTGTCTCTCCACCTCTGTGACCGGCTGTTACTGATGTTGTTGTGAATCTTGTGCCTCCTTGTGTACCGGAAGATAGGGAGAGTTTCTTGTTCTCCAAGTCAGCGTTTCTGGTGTGAGTCTTTTTTTTTTGAAATGCTATTTCTGTGTGTGCAACGTGGAATTTGGAAAAGACAGACCCATTAAAATAATTGCACTCAGAAAGCATTTGGCCTGCCTGCTTTTTCAGTCTAACAACCACCTTCTCCCTTTTCCCTAGATTGTGTGTGCCCCAATCCTGTCTGTATTCATTTTGCTTTGTGCTCCTCGCTCTCCTGCTTGATTTCCTAGAAATGCAAGTAGCTGCAAGGAAAAAAAAGCATCCCTGAGAGTTCATACTGCCTCTTGAATGCCACTTTTCCTTGAAGTCCTGGTTGTCTCAACACTAGTCCCACTGCCTGGTCCCACTACTATTGCTTTGACTAACTCAGGAATAGCCAAATTCAGCCTTTTTAAAAAATTTTATTTATGTGTCCATTAACTGCCCCTGGGTACCTGAACAGGCCAGCTGTGAATTGTGGGTCTCTGGTTTATCAGGGACATGGGAGGAGCAGGTTTCTGGCCTGGGGTGGGTGAGGACTGTGGGCCACTCTGACTCAGTCTCTGGTGATGGAGGACTGGACTGGATTATTTACCTGATCCCTCCCAGTCCTGGGTATAGATGATATTTAACACAGGGTGCAGGTAAGGGGTGGAAGCTGTATCTGTGTGTGCTTGTGTGTGTCTAGGATTGGTGCTGTCACCTTTCTGTACTCCTTCTGGGCTTAGCCCAACAGGGTCTCTTGGAGATGAGTCAAGGAAGGGTAGCACAGCGAGAATAAAGAGGATTTGAGAGCCTTGCAAATTCACCTCGTCAAAGGCCTTCTCCCCCATGTGCAGCCAAGTGATTTGAGACGAGAGGAAATCTCTCCGTTCCAGGCAGGCTGGCTGGTTAAAGACCTGGGAAATGAGCTGGCTAAGAAGGCTCCACTGACAATGAGTAAAATGAAAACCTTCTCCCCTCAGAAAGGATTTTTTTTTTTTTTTTGGCCGTTAGGAAGAACTCCCTGGAAAGGTTTTTCCTGTTTTTTTGTTTTTTTTTGTTTTTTTGTTTTTTAATAGTGGGACCAGAGAGAAAAGCACAGAGGAGGGTTTGCTGAGCATCCATTGCCATCCTGCTGGACTTGCAGCCTGTAGTACTCCTGCCACAGCAGCAGCTCAAGACTAACCTGAACCATGAGCTTCTCTCTCCATCTGGAATAATAAACCAGAAATATTACGTGAAATGTAATTAACTCTTTCAGATTTCCAGCCCAAATTTATCTGTGGCTGGTTTATTTCCTTTTATCCTTGTACCAACAATGGCTTTTAACCAAGATACTTTCTTACCTCCTGGAAAATTTTATCCCTGGAACATTTTAGATTTGCTGCAGATTTTCTAGAGCTTTCCTTTCATTAGGCTGAGCTGGTTGACCCCTTCCATCCTTCCCTCCTGTGAAATACTCACCCTTGCCCGGGAGCCCTCATTGCTTATTGCTCTGATTTTGGCTCAGGAGCTCCCTGAATGCTCCTGAACTGCCCTTGTTTTGCAGGACTCACAAGTTCATAGCAAAGTACAAACCTTCCAGGTCTGTCTTGTGCAAGAAATTGGGCATTTTTCCCTGGATAAGTCCTGGAAGAGGGAAAAAAAAGTCCATGAAAGAGCAAAAACATCCATGAAAATGTGAAATTTCCATTTGCAAAGTCCCTCTGATAAAAAAAAAAAAAAAAAGGAACTTTTATGTCATTAGTCTCCAGTGAGTCCATAGCAAATGTGCTCAACTTAGAGGCTGAAAAGCTGGTTTTCTCCCACTGTCAGATGCTGTCAGCTCAGCTGAGCTTTCAGCATCCAGGGAAGAGACCCCCAAACACCGCTGGCAGCCCCACTATAACAAGCTCCAGTAGAGGTTTGTATATTTGTTTAAAACTCCTGACTTTCAGACTGATTACCCCAAAGAGCTCCTCATTCGAAGTGGCCTTAGAACAATACCCTGGCCATGTCCCCAGGGTGATGTGAAGCCACAGCAGATGTTCATCCTCTGCAGCAGCACAGCCCTCTAAATGGATTAAGGAGATGGAGCATCTCCCTGGTGTCGTCTTACGCCGTTTGCTCTCACTCACTTCCTAAAGAAGCTGTGAGCTTGATTTTTTTAAATTTTAAAATCAAATGAATGAGACCTGCTCCATGCAGTCTGGGGGCTTCTGCTGTCCCAGCTGACCCCACTGCTGACCAGCAGGGAGGAGACCGCTGTTCACCCAGGCTCACAGTGAACCACCAGGCTGCAGGAGACAGCTGGACACTTTGCTCAGTCTCATTTACAAAGTTGGTACAGAAGAGATTTTGCTGTTTCCATCAGCAGATCTCCTGCTATTTCTAATCACTCAGTCTCTCTCTGTGGGACCTGCACACGCTGACGTGGCTTTGAATTCTCAGAGCGCAGAAACTGTCAGGGCCTGGGAGGACAGATGATGTTTTTAAAGGCATCCTTGCACGCAGAGTCCCCAGGAGTTTTTCTTGGGAGCCCATACTCATCTGGAAATTTTGATATCTTGAAACTGGCCTGTCCTGAGAAGACACTGGTTCTCATGATGCTTTTGCCAGGAAATAAACTTCCCGGGTTGCAGATGAAATTTCCGATCTGAACACTTGAGAATTGCTCTATTACTCAATCCTCCAGGCACCCCTAAAAAAAGACCTTGTTAAACTCTCTCTCTACATCAGGACCAAACTTCAAAGGCAGCTTTGGGACCACACTTCCTTATCAGACCCCTGTTTTCTGTCAAATTCAAAAAGCCAGATTTCTCTGCAAGAGTGCTTTTAATAAGCCTGCCTCTGGAGGACTGGGTACCCTCCCAAAACCATCACAGTTTGGGAAACCTGCTGAAACCTTTGCTGGAGTTTCTCACATCCATCTGCTGTGACAGTGAACACAGCGTCATACATAGCTCTCTGGCCCGGTGCCAGATGGATATTTGATGAAGTTCGTTAAAAGGTCTGACAGAAAAATTATTTCTTTTGCTGGCACACAGGCAGGAAAGAATCTTCCTTTGGAAACAAACCCTTCACTGTTGTTATCTCGGCATAAGAAATCAGTATTATCTGTGGTTCATCTTTTTATCTCCAGATGAGCCAGGCAAACACGATGCTGTCATTAGGACCTGCTCCCGTGGCAAGTGTCTGGTGTTTTATCCCTTTTGCTGTTTCTGGGTCTGTGCACTCTCCATTCAGAGGTAGACTCTATGTGTGGGAAGGACATGCTGCTGGTAAACCCAAGAGGTTTGGCTTCTGCAGCTTCCTTATGGGTGGGCACATCGCTGCTGCCTGTACCCCATGGCTGGTGGTGCAAATAAGCAGCCAGAGTTGGTTTCTGGGTTGGGAACCTTTCCCAGGGCCATCAAGTTCACTGGAGAAAAAGAGCCTTTGGCTGGCAATTATAGCTGCACCTGGGAGTGGCAGAGCTGTTTGACTTGGGAGGTGAACCCAGGCAGCAGAGCATGGAAAGATCTCCCAAGGCCACCCTCCCAACTTCACCCTGAGTGATGGTCTACAATTTGTTTTTCTTTTTTGTGCTTCATCTGAAGACACCAACCTGCTCCAAAACTAAGGCAGATTTTTTGCTGCATCCTTGCTGGATAAACCCATTTTCATGGCCATAAATCCCTGGAAATCACTCTACATGTGGTCTGACACCACGGATGTGACCAGCAGTCCCATCTATGCCCTTGCTGTTTCGCTATGTAGGTGCAAGTAGGGCAGTCCCTGCTCTGGGTAAAGA